TGACCAATCACAGTCGATTATTCTTCTCACATTCGACTGTGATTGGTCAATTTCTTACTCTTACTTCTTACTCCGTGTATTGTAGACGGGCCTTTATATTTGAACATTTTTTTTGTCTATTTGGATTTTATGTCTGCGTATATATGAGCCGTTTATTTTGAAAGTGGCTTAAGTCCATTTGTCAATGTTTTGTTGTTGACTTTTGTAGTAGCGTGTACAACTTGAAGTTAGCTGTCATAAACATTTTTTTTTTTTAATGGATTTAGGTCACTTTCAAAATAAACGGCTCATATAATATATAAAAAGATAATTATATTTAGACGAGTTAAGTACGTATAAATGCTGTTACAGTTAATCAAAGCTTCTTACAATGTGTTTTATGTTTTTAAATATATCGAGGAACTTTGTCGAGAATTAGTGCAAAGGACGTACTTGCAGTTCTTCAAGTATTTGTTGCTTGTGAAGGATTTGCTCTTGTCTAGTTACAGCTTTCCGACTTTCGCTGACATGTATCACTTGCGTTGACGCTGCTGGCGTCGGACTAAGACTAATATTAGGTTCTGACAAACTTGTAAAACCCCCACTGCCTTTATCAAGAATATTGGTATCGTCCTTAATAGTAGTGGTTGATTCTCCTGCGGGCTGTGAACGAACTTGTTGCGCTTCGGCAGAAGTAAGGCTCATATCGGGCATCATAGTCACTGATCGATTTTTTCTTAACAATGACTTTTGCGTATTATGTTTGGGTTGAAGATTTTGCGCTTGTTGTTGCTCGGCGGCTTGTTGTTGTTGTTGTTGTTGTTGCTGCTGCTGCTGCTGCGGTTGTGTAGATGTTTGTTGAGAGTGAGGTACGTGTTGTTGATGACTTATATGTTGTGGTTGTTGCTGTTGTTGTGGTTGCTGCTGCTGCTGCTGCTGCTGTTGCAGTTGTTGTTGTTTGTTGTTGTTGTTGTTGTTGTTGTTGTTGTTGTTGTTGTTGTTGTTGCGGTAATAGCATGGGCGCAGGTGCAGCACTATGAGGAGCACTCATCATAATACTATGAGGATAATCCAATAATAGTTGAACAACAGGAGTGTGACCCCCTTTTGCCGCTTCTATCAGCATAGTAGAGTTATCCTATAATTTATTTCATTGGGTTATATATCAATACAAATATAATTAATGCCTTGAAAAAATTGTATAGAAAATATTAAAATACTGTACAAATGTCGCACAGAATTGAGAAATTGGTAATATCGTATATCACGCAATGTGTCAATCTTACTGAGATATCATGTTCATATTAAATCTTTGTGAACTTTTGTATATTTCAAAGCGTATATATATATGAACAAATTGAAATGAATCAGAAATAATCACATAAAAACATGACATTTACTTGAAAAGTACAATTACTTCAAAGTACAAGGATAATTTCTTACTTTTAGTTTATGAAAAGGATTCGCAGATTGTGCAAGGAGTAACTCAACCACTGCAAGATGACCACCAGCACACGCCAAGGAAAGTGGCGTGTGATCATTATTTGTCGTTTGTCGATTGACATCAGCACGCTTCGAGATGAGGAATTGAACTGTGCACAAATGGCCTGCTCTACAAGCTTTCATCAATGGAGTTCTACCTCCTTCTGATTCATGCTCCTTAAATACACAATGAATTGATATAAATAATTCGCACAGAGATTAAACGAGAAATTTAACGAGACGAGATGATATGGGAAAATATATAAGAATAAATTTTTGCACAAGAGTTGAGTATTATAAAATTATAGTAAAGGCATACTAGATCAGCGCCAAATTGCAATAGAAGATCAGCAACGTCAGTGTGACCATTCTCGCATGCGTATGTCAATGCTGTATCTCCTGTCTGCGTCTGAGCGTGAACATCTGCCGCAGATTCCAGTAAATATCGAACAAGATCTAAGTGCCCTTCCTGCGCAGCCTCCATTAGAGGAGTGGATGCGCCCAGCTCAATATCCGCTCCCGCCTTGATTAAAAAATCGGCAACTTCCAAAAAACCACCGCAACAGGCCAAAGTAAGCGCCGTTTCCTGAGTTTCCTCAGTTTGAGCATTGATGTTTGCACCTTTTTTGAATACATCCATTACATTGTATTCCTGTGGTTTAACATTATATTATGTTCATTCGAACAAACAATACATACCTTGGCTCAAAAGTAAAGCGACCATCTCTTCGTGACCTTCGCGCGCTGCTTCCATCAACGGAGTATAACCCTCGTCGTTAACTTCCTCGATATTTGCTCCACGTTCGATCAGAAGCATAGCTAGGTCTACGTGACCTCCGCAGGCAGCTAATGTTAATGGCGATTCAAAACTATCCGTCGGCATATTTACTTGGGCGCCTGAATCTAAGAGTAAACGAGCAACTTCTACATGACCGTCCATTGATGCCTCCATAAGGGCAGTATGCATCTCGTCGGTTTTATGCTCCTGTAAAAATGCATAGAAACACTATTATTTGTAAAGTTATAAAATATCAATATTTGAATTAAGAATTATTAGGTCGCGTCCAAAAAAAAAAGAAAAAACTTAAATCACATGTTTTCCATTCCAATCTCTTGTCATGTGATCCTATATACTGGAAGGCTTTAAACTGTACTAAAAAAATTTGAAACAAAGCGGCGCTACTCACATGGCGTTAGTTAAAAGTATAAGTATAGGGGGACGCTATATCAACTAATGAGCGAGTTACTCGATGAATTAAAACATTAATAGCCAACAAGGCTCACTTCCCATTAGAAAGCAGATAGTTTTCGGAGGAGTAATCATAGGAATGCCATTAGAAAAGTTGCATTTCTTCCTTTTTCGAAACTGACCAGAAAAGAGAAGATGCAGCAACTTTCCTATCTGTATGTTCAATGGAATGTGACAGGTGTTTTCCCTACCAATGCGATTATTTTATCATCTGTAGATCAGATCGCATTCTATTTCATCTAATATTCATCTTTATTGCACATTGCAGAGAGAACGATGAAACAATCTCATTGTTACCTGATCGGCACCAGCTTCTAGCAAGAAACGGACCATTTCTAAGTGTCCCTTGTAGCAGGCCAACGTTAACGCGGACTCTTTAAATTCATTGGAATGAGTATTGATGCCAGCTCCGTGTTCAAGCAATATCTTGGCGACTTGAACATGTCCAGCGCTTGCCGCTTCCATGAGAGGTGTATGACCATTCTCATTGTGATCCTCGACATTGGCCCCCGAATTTAGTAGGACACGTACAACCTCTTCGTGTCCACCGGCGCATCCATACATAAGAGGTGTGTTACCTTTGATCAATATAATTATATTTGTAACAATACCGAAACGACACCACATAACCTCAATAATATTTACACATAGTGTTAAGAAGCTAATGTATCGTTGATTTTACGACATAAAAGATACAAGAAACGGTTGGATTTAATTTTACCTGACGTAGACTGCGCATTAACATCAGCCCCATGGGCAATCAGCAAAGATACAATATCTACATGCCCTGCACTAGCAGCTTCCATCAAAGGGGTGCAGTCCCCCTTGATGCCACGATCTTCTACATTAGCACTCATCGCCAAAAGTACCTGTATCATAGAAAAACGCAATGCCAGAAAAATTTTATCGCGGTCTATGAAATTAATTTCAAATAAATTATCTTACACAATTATATGTATCTATATACAATTATAATGCCAACTTCATGTCCGTGATTAACATGACAATTTGATAAACAAGGAAAAAAGTTGAAGTATGTATGTATATAATGTCTCTTATGTATATAAGAGACTTGAAGAATGTATGTATTTACGTTTTAAAGAATTTTTCCATAAGAACACATTTCTCGTGAGTCTCTCATGTTAATTACATAATAATTAAAAATAATTTTAGCTAATTACTATTAATTAAGTAAATCACGTAAATATCACGAAAATGTAGTTACTCAAGAACAGTTGAAAATACATAAATGTATCAAAAATAGTTTCTTCGATAGTAAAGTTAAGTTAGAACCCCCTTATTTTCGAGACGAAGTAACAATCGTACACTGTTAAATAAGTAGTTTTTTGACTGTCTGAGTGACTGTAATAACAACAAATGTAATATAAATAAATTTGAATTATTTCGACAATTATTAAACACATGCCAAATCAGAGATTTTATTTTTACACCTCGTATTCTTACAGCCAATACACAATACGTAACATTACTGAATAATACATCCGATATTATTTATTTTCTGATCTTTTTACATAATGAGAATTACTGTACCAATGTATTATTACAGCCATTCGAACGAAACTATTAATATTAATTACAACACCTATCACAAATACAGTAAGTATATAATATTATGTGTACACGGTAAAATATGCGTATCAACAAAATGACAAATGAGGAAAGGTTAGAACACGTCTTTACCTATGAGAGGCACTATAGTGTCTTTCATGAGATTTTTTTTTTTTTTTTTTTTTTGAGAAAAAAAGACAGATTTATACGAGATCAAGTTTATGAAATCCATAATCGGGGGCTCATCACGCACGCATGCACATATCGCAATGAAGATTGTACGTTAAATGTGTGAACCGGAAATTTTTTATTCACACGCACACACGTACTCGGTGCATTTCAACACGTTTCTAACTTAAAATATCATACACGGTTCCCAGATTAGGATCAATGTGTACGATCTTTTTGGAAATAACTTGGTTCTTAGGAGGGAAAGGGATCGTAGAATGATTATTTGGATGCAAACCTGAGCAAGTTCGTAGTAACCAGCTGAGCAAGCCAGAGAGAGTAGACTTTCTCCCTCCTCGGTGGTCTCGTGAACACTTCGGCCCTCCGTTAATAATTTCCGAACGGTACCGACGTCTCCGTCGGTGCACGCCTCGATGAGAGAACGCTTTTCGTTCGGTGTACGCGGATTGTCACTGCGCATACGTGTTAATGCTGCTGCAGCTTCATCCAATGCACAAGAAACACTCGATGTTAAGCGACGGAGAACCTCGTGGTCAGGCAAGTGCTTTCCATCACCCGATGATAGTTTCCCAATGCCGGCCGCTTCGAGAAGTGCTTCGAGACGCGCTTGAGTCTCAGGATCCACCGAACGTTCGGGATCTTCAGGTGTCAGTAAGAATTTCGACGACTCGGGATGATCCTCGTCCAATTCAACTTGATCGATCGCAAAGCACTCCACCTACAACGAAATATCTGTCGATAAAGCCAAGTTATATAATAATAAAGAAAGAAGAGAAAAGAAAAGAAGAGAAGAATTGGATATAAGAAATTATTCGCCGTCGTCTACATTTCGATTATGCTTGATTTATCTATGGTGATTGATCTCCTTGGCATCCTCAAACAAAGGTACGAGATGGATCTCGATCGAGAGAGATGAGAATGCGAAGGGCGAAAGCCTCTTTCGTTTCAACTTGGACGTCTCGTTTCGTGTTCAGTGCCGTCGTGGCGAACGCGCCCGCGTCGTGCTCGAGTTTTGCGTGACGGAACCGCGCGTTATCGCCACTGCGAGACAATAAACGCAAATCGGGAACGCCGGGTGAAAGTATAATTGTGTGTTTTCTAGGTTCTAGCGAGCGGCAGTGGTGGCGGTCGCTACGACGAGATAAGTGATGTTACGAGCGCTTAGCGCGCGGCCGTTCCCCCGTGAAGG